CCCTGGCCAGGATCAGAGCCATGTGCTTCTGATGGTGCATGGACACCCAGGGGTCCCTATCCCAGAGAGCTGCAGGTGACAAGCTCATCTGCACCTGGCATCTGCCTGGCCGTGTTGGGCTGAAAGGGAGGAGTTCAAGCACTTCAGCCCCCTGCAAGGACACTCATCCAGCCCCTGAACCACTGTAGCACTGGGGGGAACAACTTGCTCCCTGGGCAGCTCTTGGTGCTGCTCCAGGGTCAGTGGGGAGACAGGCCGTGCCTCAGTTTCCCCTTCCCGCCTGAACAACGGCGGGATGTGAGGAGAGCAGCTGGCTGCTGCCTGTCCCAGAAGGGGAGTGGGGTGGAGGGCTATGAGCTGGTGCAGGCCAGGCGGGTGATCTGCCAGATCTGCCCCAGGGGGGTGCCCAGCTGTGACCACTGCCCCCCCAGATCCGGCTCCTGACACAGGGCAGGGAACTAGTGACACGGTGGGGGGCAGCCAAGGGAAGCAAAATGGGGCACCTGCCCCTGAGAGAGACCCCCAAGGCACGAAGGAGGGGCTGGGAAGCAGCTGGGTGTGCAAAGAGAAAGTGTGGGTGCACAAGTGGGTATAACAGCAAGCATGTACAGGGGCGTGAGCGAGTGTGAGCCATTCCGTGGGCAAGTGCATGTGTGTACGTGTGTGTCAGCACCCGTGAGTCAGTGCATGTGCGTGTGCTTGAGTGGATGGGTGAGTGCATGTGCACACGCACATGCCTGTGTGTGAACAAGCAGGCACACACCACTCCCCACAGCCTGCTGGTGTGGGTGTACCCACATCCTCTCCTTGTAGCTGCAGCATATCCCTGCATCAAGAGGGCAAATCAGTGGGGCCGCGAGCTCTGGGCTCACACCAGTTAACACCGACCAGCTCCTGCGGTCCTGGCAGCAGGGGCAGGGGCAGAGGCAGCTGCTGGAAGAGGCAGTGATGGATGAAAGGGCACAGAGAAGATACACAGACAGACCCTGAGGGAGGGGAAAATGGACTGGCGGGTGGCCCAAGGCAAAGCCCCCCCACCTGCAGGCCCCATGGAGAGCAGGGCAGGAGCCAGTCGGCATTGCCAGGAAGCATCTCATGGAGCCAGTTGGCACTCAGCTGGGCTACCACGGACCCTGACAGCCACGGGCACGGGGGTCTCACCATGCAAGAGGGAAGGACCGGCTTCAGCCAGCACCGCCTGCTGCGAGGCTGGTGCCAGAGCGGTGTCTGCCGATCCGATCGGGGTGGAAATCAGGACACTTGGGTTTTAGTCCCAGGCTCTAGCCAGCAGCAGGGTCTAGTGGTTAGAGCAAGGAGGAGCAGGGCTGGGATGTAGGACCCCAGGGTCTAAACCTGGCTCTGAGAGGAGAATGGGGTGTCATGCGTGAGCGTGGGGGACTGACCACGTGCCAGGACTCCTAGAGCGGATGGGCGTAGGCTCAGGCCTCCTGGGTGCTGGCTGCGGTGCAGAACAGGCCCCTCCTGGCTGCCTCTGGCTGCTTTGCTCTTCCTCCCTGTGCTTTGTTACTTGACTTTCCAGCAGTGTTGCTCTGTGCAGAGGGTAGGAGAGGGGGGCCAGGCTCTTGCGCGGCGACCGCCTGCCACGCGGTGTGACAGGAATGCTGAGCCCCCCGCTGCGCGCTCAGCCCCCGGCTCCCACCTCGGTCAGGGGATCGGCATCCCTGAGCCCCTGCACCCAAGGCCTGCCAGCCCCCAACCCCAACCTCTTCCAGGGGCAAATCACGCTGGGTTTGCAGCCACCGCCGCACCCTGTCTGGAGCTGAGGGTGGGGAAGGGCGCCCCTGCCAGCTGGACTGGCAAAGCCCCTGCTGAGCCCCCAGGCCGAGAGGCAGGTGAGCTCTTCCAGCTGGGTGTTGAGGCCTGGCACCTGGGACACGCACCCTGCACGGTCTCCTGCGCTGCTGTCGGAGCCCTTTAGCATGCCCTGGACGTGCCAAGGCCTGGGTGCTGCTGCCCTCTGCCGGTGCACGTGTGTAAAGCCGTAGCTGCCATCCCGGAGTTCAAGGTCACCTCTACTACATCACCGCAGGAGTCCCGCACCCGTCACCCAGCCCGTGGGAGACAGTTCATTCATAAGAAACGGGCTCTTCTCCCCCTTTGCCTCCTGGTTTTGGAGGGGGTAGCTGTACCCGGGTCATGTTTCCTGGCCTTTCTCCTCCTCGTTCCTGTTCTCATACCAGTGATGAAGCCGGGGGAATGCTGGCACAGGTAGGGGAGTGCAAGGCTCCCATTCATGGGCCACAGGGTGGACGTATGTGATCGTACAAGGCCCGGGAGGGTCATATTTCTGTGTAGGGCCCTGGCGGCTGCCCCACACAGCAGGGACTGCCATGAAGAGGCAGAGGACATGGACTCTCCTAGGGCATCTCTGTGCTGCAAAGGCCAGGGCAAGCCGATAGTGGGCAACAGCATCTCGCTCCCTGCCCCAACTGGAAGAGACAAGGAGCCCCCCTGATTTTGCAGAAGCTCCTTGGCTTTTGTTGCTAAATCGACACTCCCAAAGCGACGGAGCCCCCCCAAGCCACTCACCCCCTCCCACGCACACACACATAAGCCACCAGCTGAGCATTTTTCAAGGAACCCAAGTTTAGGGGCTGGAAAAAAGCAGCAGCGTGTAAAACCAAAGCTCTTTGAAAGAGCAGGCCGGCTCTGGTGCCATAGAGCACGTGAGCCGGAGCTCGGAGTTGGCAAAACTTCCTTTTTTGGCATTTTCACCACAAAAACTCCGGGCTTTGGCATGGAAACCCCTTCTCTTTTCCATGCTGCCAATCACAGAGGTGAGGCAAAGGCCAAAAGGCCCAAGCCTGCCCTGAGGGAGCCAGTGAAAGGTTTGGATTGAGCCCAGCTGACAGGTTTTGGCTCGCGCTGGAAGGATTTGGACTTTCCACCCCAATCCAGACAGCTGTCAGTCTCGACAAGTCCCGGCAGCCCCTATACTTTCCAGCCCAGCTTGTTCACCTGCCTGGAACGGCGGCCCGCAGCCGAGGGCCCTCACTTGGAAGACAGCGGTACCGCAGCTGGCCCAATCTCTGCTAGGCTCAGGGGGCTGCACTGCCCACCAGCACCTCTCCTCTCTCAACCACAGAGGTGGCTGTGAAGATGTCCCCTTACTGATGTGTCCCAGCCACAGCCGGGCTCCAGGGAGAGACTCACCTGCCACCACGCCACCTCCCCAATGTGCTTATAGCCTGGGGCAGCTGATCATGCTGATGGCCAGGGTCCTGCTGCCCTTGAGAGTGATCCTCCCCAGGAGACAGGGCTGCAGGCACCAGGTAGTAACCCAGCTGCTGACACCTCCCCAGCAAGCGCTATCACCAGGGGTCAAGACCCAGGGGTCCTGATGACTGCCAGGGAGCAGTGGGGCTGCAACTCCCCCGTGGCCTTGCCAACAAGCCCACCTTTGGGTCAGGATGTTGGGCCTGGGGCCTGCTCTGCTGCCCTGACTCACAGCAAGAAAGAGGGAGGAAGCCACAGACTTTGCATAATGAGGGCCCCAGTCAGAAAGGAAGAGCGTGACAGCCACATACAGGCAAAGGAACCACAGCTTTGACTCACTGGCAGCTCAGGGTCCACTGTAGGGCCCCCCGCTCCCAGCTGGGGTCCAGGCAAACTTATGGGGCACGGAGCATGGGCCGCAGCGCACAGCTGAGCCATGGGCAGGATGGCACATATGGGCAGCCTGGCAGGTCACAGACACATGACCAGAATGCATGGGAGTATTGCACAGGCCAGAGGCATGCGAAGGACTCGAGTGCACCCCACGCAACACCCTGATGACCCCACAAGGGCCTGCAGCTACACGCATCACAGACGAGTGAGCCCAAGACATTGTACACACTGCAGCCGTGCAGGGCACTTGGACACAAATCCCTGGAGGAAAATAGCACCTGCCTAGGCGTGCATGAGTCCACACACACACAGAAGAGCATGTGCACACCTGTATCTCCATCGTCTGCTGGCCCAGACAGCAGGGCTGCAGTGGGACTTGCTCTAACATGGAGGTGTCACACATCCAGCCCACATGGCAGACCCAGCCAACAGAGGTGGGTCATCCAGCCTGCCATGCTTCTCACCATGGCTGGGCAACTCACCCCTGGACCCAGCCTGCGGCGCTTCTCACCATGGTCCCATAGCTGCTAGACCCATGTGCCCAGCACCCAGGGGGTTTAACGCTGCCCTGTCCTTTATTCACCCCACAATTTCCAGTTTGTGATTGCTGCTCAACTCACAAATCAGGCAGCTGCAGCAAGAAGCCCCAGGGTCCAGATCTGGCCTCTCCATTTAACTAGGTTTGATACCCCAAGCTGCTCCATAGGATCATAGGAAAATAAGGCTAGAGGGGACCTCACAAGGTCATCTAGTCTAGCTCCCTGTTCAAGGCAGGATCATCCCTGACTAACCATCCAGATAAGTGCCTGTCCAACCTGCTCTTGAAAACTTCCAGAGACAGAGATTGCACAACTGTTCTAGGCCTGACCACCCTCATAAACAGAAAGCTCTTCCAAATCTCCAGCCTAAATTTATCCTGTTGCAGCCTGAGAGCATGACAGCCCCAGGCTGACTGCTTGAATATTGCTTTGAAACACTTTGGTGACCAAAATCCACCCTGCTTCTGCTCCATCAGAGCTCAAGGCTCCTTGAGCCTAAGGGTTGAGCACTTCTGTTACAAGGGAGCTCCCAAACAGCCAAACCCCCTTAAGCACGCAGTCAAAAAACAAAAAAGCAGCAGCCAAACCTCCTTAACCACCCAGAGGTAACTGAACCCCCTGGCCACATGGCACCCTATAGTATATAGCTCCATACAGCCCCTCGGGCAGACTTTGCCCAGGGGAAGGTACCCTGAAGACCCCATTACAGGGACCCCATGTGAGCACTGGAGCAAGGTGGATGCCCCGCAGTGATGATCCTCACCAGACCACAGCTGCACAGAGTGAGGAGACAAGGCCGAGAGCTCTGAGCAGAAAACGAGTTTTATCCACACACTCACATAGGTATTTCCAGGGATCCTGTGCCCTCCTCCTGGTAGAGAATGAGCCCAGCCTTGGGCATAACACCACATGGTAATTCCTGCTGGCACTGACAGCCCCATGGGGTTGGAGACCTCATCATGACCAGGCTGATGGGTGGGTGAGGAGGCACTGCCATCTGCGGGTGTCTGCCCAAGCCGGGTTTAAAGTGGAGGAGCCAGAGAGGCAGGAGGGTGAATGTGGCAGCCAGCTCCAAAGAGCTGCTAAGCCAGCGAGGAGAGCACCCCAATGGGCCATGACTTCCCTCTGCCACCACAACAGCTTGAGAGGCCTTTCTCTGGACCACAGCATGAAGGGGATGCAAAGGCAGCACTTCCAAAATCCCACCCCAGGCAAAGCAGAGGCCAAGGCAATGTCTGCCAGGAGGGCCAGGGTGCACTGGGAGCAGCTTCTCACCATGTTGGCATCACGTGAAGGGCAGTTCAGACTCCTCTGCTCCCTGATAACTTCCCACCATGCAGCTGGCTGGTGGGAAGGACCACAGCCATGGGGAACTGATTCCCACCAAGATGTTGCCCAACATCCAGTGAGGCAGGAGGGATCCTGTTGCCAGGTGAGCAGGTCTGCTCAGAAGAGCTCATGGAGTAAGCTTGGTGACTTGGAGCATGGCTGAGAGATGCTGGCATCAAGGCAAGTGCAGGGCCAGGGGTTCAGCAGCGACCCTGCCCCAGCCCACCTGCAGCCCTGCCTATGAGGAGGTGAAGGAGGAGGACCTGACAGGGGGCACAGGCCTCTCCGGTGCGGACGGAGGCAGGGGCAGGCAGCGGAGGATCTTGCGCGCTGTCTGCCAGAGGTCGTCCCGGAAGCGCTTGATGGAGAAGCAGTAGATCAGTGGGTCAGTGCAGCTGTTGAGGCTGAGCAAGGCCACGCTCAGAGTGTGCAGGTTGTCCAAGGCAGAGGGCGGGCGGCAGTGAGGGGCCCCGGCATGGCTGTGCATCCAGGGCACCAAGATGAAGTGATAGGGGGCCACACAGACCAGAAACACCAGCAACATGCCCAGCACCATGGCACGGGCCAGCCGGCGGTGGGCACCTTGGGAAGCAGTGGTACTGTCTGAGAGGGACCTCATGATAGAAACATAGCTACCCATCACCACCAGGAAGGAGAGGATGAAGAGCGCCACCATTACACAGGCGTAGCTCCGCTGCCCCGCGTACTGTTCGAAGCACTGAACGCGCCGCGTGCCCATGGGGAAGGTCTGCTGGACCACCACAGAGGGCAGGACCGAGCACAAGCACAGCAGCCAGGTCACCATGCAGGCCACCAGGGCCCCGCAGCGCCGGTTCAGCACCAGGTCCAGCCTGGCCACGCGGACGGTGCAGTAGCGGTCCACGCTGATGAGGGTCATGAAGATGATGGCACTGTAAGTGGCCAGGAAGTAGGCAGCCCCAGCCACACGGCAGGCTGCCTCTGAGAGCACCCAGTGCCCCCCGGCAAAGTAGTAGGGGATCCAGAGGGGCAGCGTGAGATTGAAGAGGATGTCGGCCAGTGTGAGGTTGATGAGGTAGATGCGGATGGCCTTCTTCACCTTGCTGCTCTGAAGGAAGACCAGCAGGGCCATCAGGTTGCCCGGCAGCCCCACGCACAGCACCAGGCAGTACACCAGGGGCACCAGCAGGAACTGCATTGGGTCCCTGGGCTCGCATGCCTCAGGGTCCTCGGGCACCTCCAGACCTGCTAGCCCATCCACTGAGCCGTTCATCGTGGGGCCCCTGGAAGAGAAGGGGGCAGGGTCAGAGGGGGAAGGGTCGGCAGGGGATGAGTCTGCCAAAGGGAGCTAGAGCCCTGAGGAGGGGAGCAGACAGAGAGTGAGCGCCCCAGTAAAGCTGTGCCAGCTGCTAAGGGATTGGGGAGCCAGCCTGATCCCTCACCCTGAAGAGCTGTGTGGCTCCCATACACAGCCCCCTGCCTCTGCCTCAATGCACACTCCTCCACCTGTCCATCCCATGCCCGCCCCTGTGTGCATCCATCCATCCCCAAACGAGTCCATTTGTCCACCCATCCATCCACACAGAGCTACATGATCCTTCCCCCCAACCTCTCTAGCTGCCACCCAGGCACTGAAAACAGAGTCCAATTCAGATTAAAAGCAAACAGGGGCTTGATTCCCCACGTAACCACTGCAGCCCGGCGGCACGGCCCCCACCGCTGTCCCACGGGCACCCCCTCCTGCAGGGCCAGACTGCCAGGCTAGGTGAGCACAGCAGGTCAGACCCAAGGAGCCTCCACCAGCTTCTGACCAGAACAAGAGGCCGGGCAGATGAGTCAGGGACCATGCTCCACTTCTTTCCCCCTCCCCCTCTCCCAGGCCTCCCACCCCTGCAAGACCCCTCAGGTCTCAGCTGGCGAGGTGCCCATCTCTCCCTGACCCAGGCCTATGCCTTTCTTTCCTCCAAGGGGCAGTTCTGCTCCATGAAGCCTCAGGACAAGCTGCTTCAAGAGCCATGCGAGGGGCCCAACCCCATGACTGCACCAAGACACGACCGCACTGCACTGTGGCTCCGCAGTACATGCTTCCACATGTCCCCATCTGGGAGGACCATGAGCTCTCATCCTTTGCCCTGCCCCTGCATCCTGCCTGATGCCCAAAAAGAAAGGCACTGCCCTGGCCCCGTGGTATCCAGCCGCTTGCCCCAGGGCTCACACTGTAATGCAAGCCAACTCATGCTAAGCTGGGGCTGACGCACAAAAGTTAAAATACAAAATCCTAGTGCTAACTGCATAGTGCAAGAGGCTGCGAGTTCAGGGCTAGGCCATCTGAGAAGAAATAATGCGGTATCCCTTCCAGCTTATCTTACTATATTCATGATGATTTTAAGCAGGCCCCTAGTTGTCTGGTATGCAACCAGGGGAAATATTGTCTATCCTTGATTAATTAGTATGGTAAATATTTCTTTTGCAATTAACTCATGTTTATGTGCAGGAAGAGACATTCTCCATGTGTAACAGGTGTCTCCTCCTGATTCACTTTTGTTTTGCTGTTTCCTCCCGATTTGCCTTGTTTTGCCTAGTGGTTCCCTTGATCTTCCAAGGGCACGTGAGTTTTTCCTGATTGTTACTCAGTTCCTTGATCCATTTCAAACTTAGTAGAAATGGATAACCTCTTGTCACTGAGGAAGGTAGCTCATTCAGACTGGAACTTTCTGATAACCAGTAATGAGCAGTTTGATTAACAGGGCTTTCCTGTCAAATACGGCTTGGGACTCTCTCTTGATTTGTGCAACTACAGCAATGCTTGGAAGACGTTGGACTCTGGGTATAAGTAAGAAGTGGAACAGCTACCAGGGCACAATTCAAGAGTGAGAAATCCCTCTCTGACCCCCACTACTGCTGCACCCAGCTTAGTCAAGAAGTGGAAGAGAAGCAGGCTGCCTTTTCATTGCCTGTTTGGTGAGAAATCATCCCCTTGTAGCTAATTTCTGGACTTTGCTTTGCTTTGGGCTCATTTAACTTTGAATACTTGTAGTAAATAAAGCCTTTCTGGCACTTATCGAATGAGGGGTCGTGTCAATCCTCTGAAACTAGTCCAGGACACCACGTTTTTATTTTGCTAACAGGGGTGCAGGGGCCAGGAGACCCTTGGGGGCTGCAGGGTCTCAAGGTTACTCAGGACTCCCCCAGACATGGCAAACACCTTCCTTGCTGCCCTGGGCTCCCTCCCCAGTGCTGGGGGCTCGATGGGGTGAGACCAGGGGGCAGGGGAGAGGTGTGGGGGGACTTTCTCAGAAGAAGTAGGGGTCCAGATCCTAGTGAGAGAGGCAGGCATGAGAAGCAAAGAACAATACTAGCTGCTGTGAGATGACCAGCAGGGTGACCAGCATCTGCCACCTGCCCCAAGTGCCTGAGGCCAGGGCAAGGAGCTGTGGGTGGGATTCCCAATCCTGCTATGTCCCGTGCTCCCACAGCCTGCAGGGCACAACCTGAGAGAAAGGAGACGCCTGGCTCCTGGGGCTCTCCCTGAGAGCCTTGTCTGGCCTCAGACCCAGCATCATGGGCTGGGACCGAGAGGCATCGGTGAGGCTGTGTGCTGTCGCAAAGGGGCAGGGTAAATAGGCGCAGGTAGGGCTGTGTGGATGGGTAAGGGGAGCAGTTTCAAAGGGAGGGACACTAAGACAAGTCATTGCAGCCCTGCCGCTGAAGCAAGGGCAGCCCTCTACGTGACTCTCACATCATCTGGCTCAGCCCTGAAAGCCCGGAGGCTGGGGAACCACCTGCAAGCGTGCCCACAGACCACAGCCAACCGTTAGTCTCGCTAAGAAGCAGACACCGCTGCCTCCTCTCTGCAGCTCTCTAGTGGCAGAAGGGGATCTCCAAGCATTTGCAGGTAACAAGGGGGGCTCCAGACTAGCAGGAGAGGTCACTCTCTGTCCCCATCCCTTCGCAATGTGGGCTGCCCATGTGCTTTGGGTTCTCTGGTCTGCACCAGCAAGCCATGCACCCTTCACCCCAGCGTCTGGACATCCAGCAGAACAAGCCACGGCCTGCCGGGCACTGGCTGTCTCCCCCCTGGGGTGCTGTAATGCAAGCCCAGGGCTGAGCCCATGCGGTGGCTCAGAGCTGTGCCATGCAGAGGGCCTCCCAAAAGTCTCCTGAACCTGGGAGCTGTGCTGCTACAGATCCCCTTGGAGCCGAGGAGTGACCCATTCTGCATCCAAGCTTCAAACAATCCACCCTGGGTAATGTGGACCTGGGCCCAGCATCTCCACCAGCTCCAGCTGGCTCTGGGGATAGCCCCTTAAGGGCTCAGTACCCCACAACAATGGCAGGATCACAAGAAGCATCCCTCCTCCTGCAAAGGGGCAGACACGCATGTCTCCAAGTCCAGCCCCAAGGACAAGAAGATGCGCTGAATCAAACCTGCCTCAGAAGATCTCCAACAGGCATCCAGGCCCCAGTACAGGTCAGCCTGGGTGCTTTGGGACTCACAGCCACTGGCCCATGGTGGAGCTGAGGCCTCAGGAAGATGTGGAGGTCCTCATGACTGCATGGGGCACCCTGGAGACCCACTGACCCTTATGGCCTCGGAGCTGTCTGAATGTGTGCTTCTGGACGCCATTAGGGCTCATCAGTAATTGTCATGGTTTTATTGAGCCCCCCAGGAGGGGCCAGCAGAAGAAGCAACCCAGGAGAGCAGCCCAGCCCCAGGTCACAGTGTCTGTATGGAGTCAAGCTCTGCTGAGCCCATGAACAGAGCCCCAAACCAGTTGGGGACGGTCTGCCTGGAGAGTAGGACAGATGTACATCCATGGCAAAGACAGCCCCCTCCCCACACCATGCCCTGGTTCAGGGGGGTCTCCGGGGCCAGGGCAGCATGGTGCCCTGGCTGGCGCACAGGAAGAGCTGGAAGGGTCTCCCACAGGAGATTTCAGTGCCAAGAGCAGCCAGGGAAGCCTCCAACCAGAGCGGGACTCACACATGGCAGTGGAGAGAAGCCAGACGGACCTCGCCTGCATCTCGCCGGCCCCTCTGCTCGGCACGGGGAGGGGAGGGGGCTCCTGGGGAATGTGCGGAGCCGCCACCATGAGTCAAGGGCGCAGCTGCCTCCTGCCAGGCCTCGGGGACCTGCTCCCATGGAGCTGCTGCTCCTGGCTCCAGCTCGCAGCTGCAGGGGCTTAGCACTCCCACCCCAGCGCATAGCTGCGCCAGCTGGAATGTCCCCCCCTCCCCGCCCCCACGCTCTGCATGGGCAAGGGACAGTGCAGCCACCCCTCGCCCCCGCCCCAGAGCCCTGCCCAGCTGGAGGCACAGCTGATCCGGGTGCTGCCTTCCCCGTGCCTGGCAAAGCTGGACTCACCTGCTGCGCACGCTCATCCAGGGCTGCTGCTGGCTCCAGACAGGGGGATGCACCTCTGCTGAGACCTGCAGCTGCTGCCCAGCATCCGAAGTAAGACCACCCTCACCCACGCTGCACTTGGCCAACTTTTCGGGGCTGAGTCAGATCTGGGGAATTCCTTCCTGGCCCCCACAAGCGACTGCTCTGAGCCCTGAAGCATGTGGACGGCTTGTCTGCCCCACATCGTTGCCATAGGTTGGCACAGACCTGGGCTCCTAAGTGCTCAAGGAGCTTTCCCACCCTTCCCACCCACTCATCTCACACCCTTTGAGATCAATGCATACCTGAGAAACCAGCTCTGCACCTCACAGGGGTCCTTCCCGGCCACAAATGAAGCAGCATGGGGGAAACACATGGCTCATACTGTTCCTGCTCTGTGGCTAGCCAGAGCCCTGTCTGCTGAGCTGTCTGGCTGAAACTGTGTACTGCCATTCAAATCACTATTCCCCCGTTCCCCGTGCAACAGAGTCAGTCACAGTTTCCCCATCAGCCCCTGGCAGAGCGAGGTGCCAGGCTAGGTGTGGTGCTCCGGGCTGTGCCAGTGCCATCTCCCAGCACCCAGGCTTTCCCAGTTCATAGCTTCCCAGAGCCCAGTCCATGCCAAGGCCATGTCTTCCAGCAAATCTACAAGCAAAGCGTCAGAGGGGCGGCCAGGAGCCCCACCTGCCCCACATCACAGTGGGAATCAGACAGGTGCTTACTCACCAGCTCAGCCTGTCCCACCTTGTCTGCAGCACTGCGTGACTGGCTGCTCCCAGCCCTAGACATGTGGTGTCTCTGCACCGAGCTGCAAGGAAACTGCTTTAGCCCTGTGGCTTTGGCGGGTTGTGCTTGCTTGGTGTAAGCAAGGTTTTGGGGACTTGTGTTTGCTTGGAGACCACATGCTGCCATCAGATGTAGC